TCATATAGGCTGAGGATTGTATGGGCTACCAGTCTCTTGGACTAATTGTTTCCATGCATCTTTGATATTCTTCATTCTTCTTTGCTCTGGATGAGGAGAGACCCATCATTGCATTTAGATGGTTGCTTGCAAGCTTTTAAGATCCTAGTCACTGGTCACCAAAGTAGGATGTGGGACAATGTTTTTGTGTAGTATGTTATGCCAATTGAGCTTGATGTTCTCTGGGACCATGGTCCCCAGCCCACAGGTCCAACTACTGGCTCCCTCTGGGTAACTATCTGTGGCCAAGAAGTGACTACACCCCTACCCCTGCCCCTTGTCAGCTCTACTATACACCTGGACTTTCAAACAAAGCTATTTTAAGATGACTGGACATGTCTTACAGTTAGGAAATAGTCTGCCTTTATTAGAAGAAGATCCTTCTGCCCCAAAAGTCATTTCTTCACTCCTTTAGTCACTCATTCATTCAAGACTCATTCATGTCAATATTTTCATGAATAAGTAATGTATATGCCAACACTTACTGGGTCCCTGTTTTGTAGTAGGAATAATGTTTGTTGCTGTGTTGTTAGCTGCTGTAGAGTATGCCCTGACTCATGGTGACTTCACACACAACAGAATGAAACACTTCTCAGTCCTGTGCCGTCCCCATGGTTGTGGTTCAGGCCACTGTGATCTATCAGGTTTTCATTGGCTTATTTTCAGAAGTCGTTTGCCTCCTCAGTCTTAGTCTGGAAACCTGTTCATCATCATAGCAAAACACATGCCTCCCTTGACAGATGGGTGGTGACTGCACATGGGTTGCATTGTCTGGGAATCAAACCTGGATCTCTCACATGGAAGGTGAGAATTCTACCTCTAAGGCATCACTGCCCCTGTTAGGAGCAGTGCTAGATGCTTTAAATACGTACTTTTCAACGACATACTTATTGTATGAGTAGGGGAATATCTTTGTCATTCCTCAGCCACAGTGGCAGAAATGAGACTTTTTTTTTTTTTTCCCTCCAGTAACAAGAAGTCCAGGGGCAGGCAGGCAGTCCAGCACTGATGAGTCTGCTCCATGGTGCTATCAGGAACCTGGGCTCTTCCTGTCTCACTGCTCTTCCACTACAGCATGTTGGCTTTGTTTGCTTTTTGTTCACCTCACTGTTGCTAGATGGCTGCTGTACCCCCAAGCGTTACCTCTGAGCTCCAGGCAGGAAAAAGAAAGCAGAAAGGGGTAACGGTAAAGGGAGCATGCCAGGCCAGTTGGTTCTTTTTTTAGGAGGCGGGACAAAAACTTTCCTGGAAACTCTACCAGAGAACTTCTGCTTCCTTCTCGACCAACATGGTCCTGTGGCTACTATTGCTTGATGGCGACCTGAGGAAAAGGGATTCTGGGTGGAGATTAGGTTTCCAACCAAAGCGTAGCCCCTCACTTACACAGTTAGTTTATTTCAACATTTACTGGGCATCTTCTGTGTGCCAGACACTTTATCTGGATACAAAGATGGATAAAGCACATTTGCCTCAAGAACTTTACAATCTGGATGGATGGTACTCATGGACATGAGAAATAATTATGATTCAACATAACAATTGCTATAAACTTTGTACAAGATACAGTAGGGGCAACGTGGATGGAATCTCAGAGCAAAAGAAAAATATTATTTTAAAATCTTCATTTTGAAGTGTGTAGAGGAATTTAAGTCATACCCCTTTAAAAGCACCTGATAGAGCAGATGTTCAACCCTTTCAGATGAAGGGGAGCAGTGCACTTGGGGAGCAGTGGCAGCAGGTGTTGCTCCCTTAAGAGAAAATGTGGTGCCATCAAAAGGGGTCTGAGAGCAGATGCTGTGCTTGGAACCTGGTGGCTTAAACTGGTTTCTGACATGAGTTTAGGAGTTAGGGTGCTTTTGGGGGGGCAGTGGGGAGCAGTGCTTAAACTTGCAGCAGAAAATGTTAATGAAGCCTTTAACAGCTGTGCTAGAACTAGCAGCTGCCCAGAAAGTTGACAGTCAACCTGCAGGAGCAGTGAATGTAATCTAGAAGGAACCTTTCTCAGAGTAAGAAAAAGGCACTAACAGTCTAGAAGTAACATATTACGGCCTTCATACTTAGAAATTAGATCTGGGCGCTTTGGGCACTAAATGACATGTTCCATGATTGTAGAAGGAGGACTGCCTAATTTGCTACTGACCAAACCAGTGCTTGTCAGCCTTGGCTGTAAATTGAAATCACAGGGTGGAGCTTTAAAAAATATAGATGCTGAGATCCCACCCCCTAAAAGACTTAGGGACTTGGCCTGGGGTGTGGCCTGCATACCGAGGTTTTAAAGCTCCCTGGTGACCTAATGTGCATCTAAGTTTGAGAACCTTCGCTGTAAGATGCTGTTCCCCAAACCTCACAAGTCTCTCTTTTAAAGTTTTGGACTCAGTGGCCCTGGGAATCTGCATATTTGCCAAATACCTAGGTGAGTCTTCAGAAAGGCTGAGAACCCTGGTTTAGGAGTGTTTTTCACATGTTGTCTGAGCCTCTGCATGAAAACACACTTAGGATGCTTTTTAAAAATGCAGATTCCTGCCTGGTATCCTACCTGGAGGCTTCATAACATCCCCTTGCTCAACACAGAAGTTGGAAGTGAAGGATAAATTAAACAGCAGCTCTAGGGCATGTCTTAAAACCCCAATGCCTTCAAAATGATAAATCCTACAACATTCATGCAGTTTAATGAAGTGAAACTGTGTTCTGGTTACCTAGTGCCGCTCTGACAAGAATATACCACAAATGGGATGGCTTGAACAAACA